CACTGCACTCCAGTCTGGGTGACAGAGTGAAACTCCAACTCAAAAACAAAAAACAAAAAAAAACAAAAAGAAAGAAGTGAAATTGTCTTTTGCACATTTATTTTATACCCTGAGACTTTGCCAAAGTTCTTTATCAGTGCAAGGAGGTTTTGACAGATTCTCTTGGGTTTTCAAGGTACAAACAATCATGTCATCTGCAAAGAGAGATAGCTTGACTTCCTCTTTTCCTATTTGGATACCCCTGATCACCTTCTCCTCTCTGATTGCTCTAGCCAGGACTTCCAATACTATATTGAACAGGAGGAGTGAGAATGGGTATCCTTGTCTTGTTCCAGTTTTCAGGGGAAATGGTTTCAATTTTTGTCTGTTTAGGAGTATGCTGGCTGTGGGTTTCTCATAGATGGCTATTACCATTTTGAGGTATGTCTAGATGTTCAAGGGTTTTTATCAAGAATGGGTGCTGGATTTTATCAAAAGCTTTTTCTGCATCTAATGATATAATCATGTGGTTTTTGCTTTGATGTCTGTTGATGTATTTAATTACATTTATGGTCTTGTGAATGTTGAACCAGCCTTGCATCCCAGGGATGAAGCCTACTCAGTCATGATGGATGATTTTTGAGATGTGTTGTTGAATCTGGTTTGCTAGGATCTTGTTGAGAATTTTAGCTTCTATGTTCATCAAAGATATTGGCCTGTAGTTCTTTCTTTGTTGGGTCTTTACCTGGCTTGGGTATCAATGTGATGTTGACTTCATAAAATGTTTTAGGGAGAGTTCCATCTTTCTCAATCACCTGGAATACTTTCAGTAGGATTGGTATCAGCTACTCCTTAAGTGTATTACAGAATTCTGCTGGAAAGCCATCTGGCTCAGGGCTTTATTTTTGTAGGTAGTTTTCTTATTACATAGTCAATTTCCTTATTGTTATTGGTCTATTTAGGGTCTCAATTTCTTCTTGTTTCAACCTAGGCAGGTTGTGTGATTTCAGAAAGTCCTATTTTCTTAAGGTTTTCAAGTTTGTTTCCATACAAGTGTACGTAGTAGTCTCTAATGATCTTTTGTATCCCTTCAGGGTCAGATGTGACTTCATCTTTTGTGTATCTGATTGTGTTTATTTGGGCTTTTTATCTTTTTTTCCTGGTCAGTCTAGCTAGGGGACCATCGATCTTGTTTATCCTATCAAAGAACCAGCTTTTTATTTTATTGATTTTTTTGTATTATCTTTTTGTCTTCTATGTCCCAGATTTGGGCTTTTATTTTGGTGATCTGGATTCTTCTGCTGAAGTTAGGGTTATGGTGGTCTTGCTTTTTCCACTTCCTTAGGTGACTTGTTAGGCTGTAAATTTGTGATCTTTCCATTTTCTTCATGTGCGTTTGTAGAGATATGAATTCCCCTTTTGCTTTAGCTTTCATGGCATACCAGAGATTTTGGTAAGATGTTTCTTCATTTTCATTTGTTTCCAGGTATCTTTTGATCTCTGTTTTGATTTCATCATTGACCCAGGAGTTGTTTAGCATCATGCTATTTAGTGTCCATTTCTTTGTGGGTTTGGGGGAACCTTGTTGGTGCTGATGTTTTTTTATTCCACTGTGGCCCGAGAAGGTACATGGCAAAATTTCAATCTTTTGAAATTTGTTTATGCTTGATTTATGGCCAAGTACGTGGTTGATCTTAAGAGTACGTTCCATGAGGTGATGAGTAGAATGTATATTCTGTGGTTGTTGGGTGGAGTGTTCTGTAGGTATCAATTCAGTCCATTTGGTCAAGAGTCATATTGAGGTTCTGGATCTCGTTGCTGATTTTTTTGTCCTGATGATCTGTCTAGGGTTGTGAGTGGTGTATTAAAGTCCCCAGTATGATAGTGTTAGAGTCAATATCTTTTTTGAATTTACCTAGAAACTGCTTTATGAAAGTTGGCACTCCTATGTTGAGTGCATATATGTTTAGGATAGATATTACTTGTTGATGGAATGAACCTTTTATCATTATGTAGTGGACTTCTGTGTCTTTTAAAATTTTTGATAGCTTAAAAGGTATTTTGTCTGAGATTAAAATTGTGACTCCTCCTTTCCTTTTTGTTCCATTGGCCTGAAAATTTGTTTCCCATCCTCTTACTTTGAGTCTGTGAGTGTCCTTTCTAGTGAGATGAGTCTCTTGAAGGTGATATATTGTTGCCTGCTCATATTTTATCCATTTTGCCATTCTATGTCTTTTCAGTGGTACATTTAGTCCATTCACATTCAGCCTAATTATTGAAATGTGAGAGTTGATCCCTATCATAAGGTTCTTATAGTGTTGTTGTTGTTCCTCTTTGTTTGTTGTCTTTCTTTTGGTTTTGGGGTTGGTTCGTGTGTGTTTTTAATCTTTTTCCTGTACTCTTGTAAAGAACGTTGTTTTTCTTTTTCCCTTTTCTTCTGTGTTTAATACTTTCTTAAGTGTTTCTTGGAGAGATGGTTTGGTTGCTGCATAAGTTCGGAGGGATTGGATATCTGGGAAAGATTTTAATTCTCCTTCACTGATGAAACTAAGCTTGACTGGGTAGGTTATTCTTCGTTGAAATTGTTTATCTTTTAGAACTTTGAAGATAGGGCTCTAAGTTCTCCTAGCCTGAAGGGTTTCTGTAGATAAATCTGCTGCTATCCTAATTGGTCTTCCATGGTAGATAATCTGACCTTTTTCTCATGCTGCTTTTTTTTTTTTTTTGAGTTAGAGTCTCACTCTGTCGCCCAGACTGGAGTGCAGTGGCCGCTCCTGGCCACCGCAGCCTCGACCTGCTGGGCTCTGGTGATCCTTCCACCTCAGCCTTCCAAGTAGCCGAAATTACAGGCATGTGCTACCATGCCTGGCTGATTTTTTGATTTATTGTAGAGACAAGGTCTCGCTGCCCAGGTGGGTCTCGAACCCATGGGTTCAGGCAATCCACTCACCTCAGCCTCCCAAAGGTACAGGATTACAGGCTGAGCCACCGAGCCTGGTTTTCTCTTGCTTCTTTTAGAATTTTTTCTTTTATACCTACTTTGTTTAGGTGAATTATTATGTGTCTGGGAGTTGGTCTTCTCATTTGTTGTCTTGCAGGGGTTCTCTGAATCTCTTGTGTTTGAATTTTCACATCACTGATGAGATGAGGGAAGTTTTCTTAAATAATCTCATGGAATGTTTGTTCCAAGGTGGACTCTGTTTCTCTTTTTGCCTCAGGAAGTCCAATTACTCTTGGTTTGGTCTCTTTAAGTAATTGCTCATCTCTTGAAGGTTTTGTTCTCTTTTTAAGCTTCTTTTCTATGTTTTTCACAGTTTGGGTTAGTTCTATATTTTGGTCTTCAAGTTCTGAGATTCTTTCTTCTGCTTGGTTAATTCTGCTTTCCTGCTTATCAGTTTGTTATTTATTTCATTCACAGTATTCTTTACTACTGTTATCTCAGTTATCAACTCCTTCCTAGTTTCCTCTTGTCTCTCCTCAATTCTTTTTAATCTCTCCATTATTGTCTTGATATCTAGGTTTGTAGTTTGAGACCAGTCATTCTGGGGGCTCTTCATTGTTTGCATTCTGAAGTCAGTTTTCTCACAGTCTGACCTCCCAGGGGTCTGTGAAAGACCCATATTCTTCTTTTGATTCTTCTTCATTTGTGTAGATTTTTCTCTCCCCCTTTCCCTCCCCTTCTTTAGTTTCTGTTTTTCAGGGAATGTGGGGTTGCTTTTACTTCTTTTTGTTCAATCTCCTGTTCTTCCTTATGAGCATCCTCTGGCTTTGTTCACTTTTGAGGCTGGACTGTAGGTTGAGGCTATACTTTTTGTAGTTTTGAGATTTAGTTGAGGGAGAAGCTGTGATTCAGAATCTATCTGCAGATCCCAGTATCCACTAACAGGTGTATGGGCACACTGGAACCCACTTCCCACTGCCTCACAATCTGTCCTTGCAGTGGGGTTTAGGTTTGCTCCCTGGAACAAAAGGAGGTAAGAAAAAGGAAAATAATGGAAGAAGGGGGGTCAAGAGGAAGTTGGAGAGAGAGAAGAGCAAGAAGGAAAACAGACATATATACCAACTAATGAATGAAAAGAGACACAAGGTCAGAAAAGAGTAAAAAACAAACAAACAAGATTCCCTAAAGCATATCGGTAATCACACAAAGACAGTCCAATAAATTCATGCCTTTTGATGTGCTTTTCCCCAAAACAAGCAAGTAGTCTAATTCAAAAAACAAAACAAAAAGTCAAAACAATAAAATAAAATTCAAAATAAGAAACCAGACTAGCTCTGGAGTCTTTCTTGAGTGACTAAAGTCTCTTCAGCTCTGATCTCTATCATCTCCCCTTTGCTGGCAGATAGACTTACTCACAGGTTGGTTTGGTTCCCTTGGCTTGCTGCCTGAGAGATCTGCCACAGGACTGAGTTGCCTGTGTCTGTGTCAGCATAGGGGAGGGCCTTTTGTCTCCTGTTTGGCAAGGTTACCTTAGAAACCAAGGTGGAGGCTGCTCATAGATGGGCAGGGCAATGCAAATCTCTGCCTGGAAAATGGCTGCGGTGGATGACTCCTCTTTGGCCAATCCTTTCTCTCCATTCATCCTTTCTTTCCACTCATCTGGTCTGTGGATAGGGTGGGTGGCGGGCAGTGGCAGTGGCTTTGGGCCCCCCACAGGGAACTTCAGCCAGGAATGGAGCTGGAATCTCTGAAGGACAGTCGCCTAGAGCCTCCCTGGGCCATGGTGGCTTGAGATGGGGCTGGGCGGGGACCCAGAACCCAGGGCGGGTCCCAGAACTTCGAGGGTTGAGCACTGGCTGCTGCTTTGGGTGCTTCAGCCCTGGTGGTGGCACAGAGCCCGGAGGCACAGGCGCTGCGGGCCTGCATGGAAAGCGGTGGCCTTGGGCCTGGTGGGGTGCCCAGGAAAGTTCTGAGGGGTGGGCGTGGAGGGCCTCCCCAGGCTGCCACAGCCCAAGACTGGGCTGGGCGCCCAGTCAGGGAGGGAACTGGCAGCATCTGAGTGCCGGGCCAATCACTGTAGCCAGCAAGGGAACCCAGATCTCCACAAGGCAGTATCTGAGGGCCTCCACAGGTGGTGGCAGCTTGGGTCCGGGTGAGACGATGTAGCTGGTAGCTCCAATCGGCTGGGTCCGGGGTCGCCTGGGGTGGAACGGCAGCTGCAGAGGGGCCGTGGTAGCTGGCCATGTGTGGGACCAAGGGTCTCCAGGCCTTGGATTGGTGCAGCTGGCGGTGGATGGGGGGTGGGGGAAGGAAAGTAAGAGTCTTTATGGGAACTCACTTTTGGAGAATCTCATGGTCCCACCTGTGCCATCGCCATCTTACTGGAACTGGATCTTGTTTCTTTATCCAGTCTGTCTCTGTCCTTTAATTGGAGTTTTTAGTTCATTTACATTTGTTGAATTACTGGCATGATTGGATTTGGGCTATGATATTATTATTTGTTTCTATTGCTCCATCTAATATTTATTTATTTATTTTTTCTTGCTTTTTTAAAGTTCATCAAACATTTAAAAAACTATTATAATTTATCTCTCTATTGACTTTTCAACTATGCCTTTTTTAGATTTTGTTTTTAGTATTTACTCTAGGGCTTATAATATACATCCTCAACTTATTTTAGTTTGCCTTCAAATGGTATTATACAATTCATGAAGAACTGTGCAACAGTATAATTCCATTTATCTTCACTTGTATCTTTGTGTTCCTATTAAATATTTTACTCCTACGTATGTTACCAACTTCATGATTCATTATTATTATTTTTGCTGTAAAATAGTCTTTAATATTAAAAAAATTAAAATGTTTTAAAAATTACTCACATATTTTATTTCTATTCATTTTTATTATTTTGTACATCCATCTTATATTATTTCCCTTCAGCCTGAAGAACATTCTTGACAATATTTTGGTAGTGTGGGTCTATTAACAATCAGTTCTTGTGGCTTACATTTGTCTAAAAAATGTCTTTGTTTCACTTTGCTTTTTGAAAGAAATTTTCTTAGGGTATATTCTATTGTGTCTAATCTGCTAAGCCCATGGAATAAATTCTTCATTTCAGAAATTCTGGTTTTTAGTTTTGGTTTGGTTCTTTTTTAGAGTTTCTGAGCTAAAATTCTCCATCTTTTATCTTTTTTTCTGACTTTTTTTTAGTGAATCCTTTAACATATTTATAATATTTATATTAAAATCCATATTTGGTAATATCAATATCATGGCCACCTCTGGGTTTGACTTTATTTCTCTTGATAATGGGTCCTGTTTTCTCTTTTATTACATGTTTTGCAGTTTTTGTTAGATCTTGGCCAACTTGTATAAACTTTGTATAGATTTGTGGAAATTGAAAGTAGGTAATATTTACCTCCAGACAAATGTACACTCCCTTCCTCTGTCAGGCTGCTAGGGAGAGGGGCTGATCTCATGGTATAATGTATAGCTGACCTGTGTATAGGCTGGGTTGCTGCTTTAGATAGCTTCAGTTTACCAACAGTTTCAAACACTTAGAGGGTGAAATCGAGGCTTGCTCTCTGTCCAGCAGGACTTGGGAATCAATATTGGCAAGATTTAGAAATCTCTTTCTGCAGTTAGTCCAGCTGTCGTCCATTTATACCACTGAGATTCTGTTATTCAGCTCTACCCCAAGCTTTTCACACCATGGGACTTCTTTCTCTGCTCTTGTGTCCTGCTCTTAGCTTTTCCTACACATCTGTGCACTTGAAGAACGTCCCACGGGGAAGAATTTGTGGGTGATGTGGACTTGCTCTACATCTGGGTCTTCTCTGTTATGCCAACTAACACAGACTGTCTGCAGAAGTTTTTTCCTTTGCCTTCCGTGCCTCTGGGATCATAGAAGCTGTAGATCACTGGAATTTGGTTCATCTAGACTTTGCATCATGAAATCTTTAACAGATTTTTAAAACTTTGATTTGTTAGCTTATCTCTATCTTTTAGTGATCCCTTTGTGAGGCAACTATTGTTTTTATTTATTTATTTATTGTAGAGATGAGGTCTTGCCAAGTTGGCCAGGTGGGTCTGGAACCCGCGGGCTCAGGCAATCCACTCACCTCGGCCTCCCAAAGAGCTGGGATTACAGGTTGAGCCACCGAGCCTGGCCTCAACTATTGTTTTTAAAAGATTCATTATTGTCTTCAACACTTGTTATATAGCCTTTCCTTTTAAAATGTATTTTTCAGTCCATGAATCTGGAATATAAGCTTGGTAAATGGATTTACTTGATGAAGTTTAAGAGATGAACATAAAATGTCCTCCACATGAAATGTCCTTTGATAGCAGCATTTTCTAATGTCAGTTATGGTATGTACAGGGCATACTCAGTCTGGTAGATCTTACTCTCACTACGCATCAGGCATCATAGCCAATCTTTCTTCTATTTTAAAAATAGCAATATTGGTCAAATTCTGGTGACAGAAAGCAAGAGGTGGAAACCGAGCAAGCAGAGGGGTTGAATTAGAAGGACCACCAAGAAACAGTCAGCAGTTTTTAAGGTTTTGGTCTTGGAACTTTTTAAACTTAAAAATTGATTTCTGGCAAGATGGCGATGGAACTGGTCAGACTATAAGAGTCTATGCCAAAGCAAGTGTCCGAAAGGTCTCTGAGTGAGTGGATGTGCACCAGTGAGTGAGTGAAAGTCCGTCAGAGGGGAGGCTCGGGTTCATGCACTCAAGGCTTTCCTCCAGAGGTTACTGCAACCCCCCACCACCTTGAGATTGGAACCCCCAGTGTGCAGGATTGTCTACTGTTCTCAGGGCTCTCCTGAGAAGAGGCAGTAGAAAACAGCTGATCCTCACCATCTGGCATTCAGCCCACACCATCACCTGTGACCCTAGAGCAGCACAAGCCCCAGTATTGTGTAGAGGACAGGTCGTGGAAAGCTGAAAAGGAGCTCCATCACCAGTGAGGAAATGCCAATTAGTCTAAGTGTGAATGAACTAAATGCACCACTGAAAATACATAGAATGGCAAAATGGATAAAATATCATATGGCAACAATATATTGTCTCCAAGAGACTCATCTCACAAGAAAGGACACTCAGACTCAGAGTAAAAGGATGGGAAACAAAATTTCAGGCAAATGGAACACAAAATAAGCAGGAGTCATGATCTTAATATCAGACAAAATACTCTTTAAGCTATCAAAAGTTTAAAAAGATATGAAAGGTCACTATGTAATGATAAAAGGCTTAATCCATCAACAAGAAATATCCATCCTAAGCATATATGCACCCAACATAGAAGCACCAACTTTCATAAAGCAGCTTCTAGGTAAACTTAAAAAAGATATTGACTCTAACACTATCATAGCTGGGGACTTAAATACCTAGACAGATCATCAAGATAAAAATTAACAAGGAGATCCAGAACCTAAATGTGATTCTTCACCAAATTGTTACCTCTAGAACACTCCACCCAACAACCATGGAATATACATTCTACTCATTGCCACATGGAACGTACTCTAAGATCAACCACATCCTCAGCCATAAATCAAGCATAAACAAATTCTATAAGACTGAAATACTACCATGCAGCTTCTCAGACCACAGTGTAATAAAAATAAATATCAAACACCAACAGAGTTCCCAAAATCCACAAAGACATGGAAACTAAATAACACGATGCTAAACAACTCCTGGGTCAACATGGATATCAAAACAGAGATTAAAAGATACCTGGAAACAAATGAAAAGGAAGAAACACCTTACCAAAACCTCAGGAATGTCATGAAAACAGTCTTAAGAGGGGAATTCATATCTCTACGAACACACATGAAGAAAATGGAAAGATCATGAGTTAACAGCCTAATGAATCACCTAAGGAAGCTAGAAAAGGAAGACCACAGAAACCCTAACTTCAGCAGAAGAATCTAGCTCACCAAAATGAAAGCCCAAATTCAGGACATAGATGACAAAAATATATACAAGAAATCAATGAAACAAAAAGCTGGTTCTTTGAAAGGGTAAACAAGATTGATGAACCCCTTGTTTGACCAAGAAAAAGAGAGAAAAAGCCCAAATAAACACAATCAGAAATGCAAAAGATGAAGTCACAACCGACCCCTAAGAAAGACAAGATTATCAGAGACTACTATTTACGCTTGCATGGAAGCAAACTTGAAAATCTAAAGGAAATGGAGGACTTTCTGAATCACACAACTTCCCCAGGTTGAAACATGAAGAAATAGAGACTCTAAATAGACCAATAACAATCCAGGAAATTGACTATATCATAAGAAATCTACCTACCAAAAAAAAAAAAAAAAAAAGCCCTGGACCAGATGACTTTCCAGGAGAATTCTACAAAACATACAAGGAGGAACTGATATCAATTCTAGTGAGAGTATTCTGGGCAATTGAGAAAGATAAAACTCTCCCCAAATCATTTTATGAAGCTAATATCACATTGATACCCAAACCAGGTAAAGATCCATCAAAGAAAGAGAACAACAGGTCAATATCCGTGATGAACATAGATGCTAAGATTCTCAATAAGATCCTAGCACACCGGATCCAGCAACATATCTCAAAAATCATCCAGCACGACCAAATAGGTTTCATCCCCGGAATGCAGGACTGGTTCAACATTCCCAAGACTATAATGTAATTAAATACATCAATAGATGTGAAAACAAAAACCACATGATTATATCATTAGATATGAAAATAGCTTTTGATAAAATCCAGCACCACTTCTTGATAAAAACCCTCCGACATCTAGGCATAGATGGAACATAACTCAAAATAGTAGGAGACATCTATGAGAAACCCACAGCCAACATACTGCTAAACAGACAGAAATTAGAACCATTTCCCCTGAAAACTGGAACAAGACAAGGATGTCCACTCTCACGCCTCCTGTTCAGCATAGTTTTGGA